GCGATCAGAGGACAAGCTGTTATCAAAAGCAATCAAAGTTAATTTACTTTGGAGGCTTTTCAACTGTTCTGAAATGCTTAAATAATGCCATTTCCCTCTGAACTGCTACCATAGACTTCTGGAATGCCCGGCCAAGCTCTACAATCTTGGTGTTAAGCCAGTTTAACAAGTCTGACACCATCTCTTCGTATGCCTTTTCCATCTTTTCCACCTCCATTAAGATCCCGAGGATCTGTAAACAAAATGATCAAATCCAGTGATTTTCATTTTAACAAAAAAAGTCAATATAATCAACAGTTGGTTGGATCTCAAGATATTTCACTCTCCTAAGACAGTTTTCTAGCAAGCATACTGTTGTTTGCACGTAAAGTTGAATCCCAAATTTTTCAGACCATCCAGGAAAAAGGAAATTGGTTTAAACCTAACTATGGTTTGAATAATGGGATTGACACAGGAAGTGAAGCTAGTTTTGGTTGGATTGATGAAGAGTTTAAAGAAAGAAGAATTCAAGAGAGTGGGATTCCACTTGACTTAAGTTAGCACCATGTAAGAGGCAGTAACAAACTTCTGCCCATTTAACCGTTAAACATTAGATAACCGAGTGCTGGTCTATTAGTAGCACAACTCATCGCCAGTTCCTTTCCAAATCTCCAATACCATATATTCTCTCCTCTTACTCTAACCGTCTCAATTGTTTAATTGCTTTGCCCCTGCTCCAAAAGGCAAACTCACTCGCAGGAGTTGGTGTATCTGTGATACATTACATCGGTATTTTTAATACTAATATACATGAAAAAATTTCTCAGTTCTGATTGGTTAAGTTTTCAGTTAATTGAGTGTAGAAGAGAGTTAATTCAGTGCAGAAAAGGGTTAATTCAGTGCAAAGAAAGAAACAAACCAAACATTCTGATTGGTCAGAATGATTGGTCAATGTCAATGTCAAGGTCAATGTCACTTGCAGGGTTTGAATAAATTATTTTTGCACGTGATGTGTGCGCTTTTCTTCTGCGTAGTTATGAGAAGCTACCTCATGTTTTTTCATGTCTATTATTAATAGATAATCACATGATTTTCTCATGCAATTTGGAATAAATAAGCACCTGTAAATTTTTTCAAAGACCACAAATTGCACTCGCCCTACGGGCTCATGCAATTTTGTTTGTCTTTGAAAAAATTTTTTCGTGCTTATTTATTCCAAATTGCACTCGAAATCATGTGATTACCTATACGAATCATAAAACCTTTGTGTCTCACACCTTTGCAATACGTCTACCTCCTGTCTCTTCTGTCTTCATTTTGGCAAAATATTGATAATACAGTGACACATATGTCATGATGGACTTCTCATCAGGCCGTGGGCAGTCCACGTCTGAAGATGAAGTATTGCAAAAGATAAACAAACCAGTCAAGTCACTAATTCCAGAAAGATTGAATCTCAAATGCAGACTTGAAATATCGTGATCATGAAAAAAAAGAAAAAAAATAATGGAAAAAAACCTTCTGCATCCAATAGTTTGGCAATTCCTAAACTCTCCTCAGCAACATTAAAAGCATTGTTCAAGTTTGCCTCATGCTGGCTGGGGCGTAGGGCACTATAGTTGATCATGTCAGGTCTGTGAAAAGGGGGGAAAAATTCAAACACAAAATTAAGGGTGGAACTTTTAACACAGTAATATGCCTAACTTCAAAAGGTTATCATGTTTCGGTATTAACCAATAGCATTGGAACAAATTCTGTACTCTGATTAGCTGCACTACTCAATATCTATTTGAGAAATAGAACACATTATTCCAGGCTTTGTAACATGATAAAACCATGTGGGATGATGGGTAAATGCAAGGAAAGCTTATAAACATGAGCCAAAGGCAAATGGTTTGTGAGCTTTCCAACTGTTCTCCCAACAATCGAAGTGGCTTTACCAAGCTACAGACCCTGGAAAAAAATCATTCTATTGTATTTATGACTTAGCTAGTTATGTGGGGGCTATATAACATGATGATAAAGCATCTGCTTGGAAACTGAATTGAACCATCAGACAATGCATACTATGTTCATTATGTTATAATAAACATAGATCATGAGAATAAAGGCTGATAGTTCTGAAAGAAACTGTTTGGGGCTGCGTCGGTGGGGGTAACGAAATAATTTGGATATATCAACAAAGTTGAAATGGTAAATTGGTCACTGTAACGATTACAAAAGCTGACGTTTGAAGCGTTAGCCCTTCATCGGAGTGAATAGAGGAATTGTGGGTTGTGCGTGCCTTTAAAGGTGGAAAATGGAGCTACGTTATTGGTGGGAGAGATGACGACAAAATTTCTTGTTACAACACCAATACAAAGTCAAGCAGACAAGTGATGAGAATAATGAAATATATCAACTAGGGGCTTATCAGTTGATCCAATACCAAATTCTCAGGGGTTTAAGAGATTAAGAGCTGGGCATTAGGAAAATTGAGCAGTTGTGAGGATGGTTTTGCCCGTCACCTAATTTGATGATCAAGAGGAAAATTTATCTTATAAAGAAGTTCAGTTCAAAAAGTTTGCCGCCTGTGAAAACCGGTTGCCCTCCTGCTGAAAACATTAATGAAACCCCTGAATTCTTAGAATTAAAATCATAAAAACTGTATACAGAGGGCAAGGAGAATTACTAATGAAACCAGGGAGTGGAAGAGTTAAAAGCAACTATTAATATTAATATTAATATTAATAGTACAATCACATGAAAATGTATGTTGTTAAAGATGGCAAAGCAAAGTCAGTTGAGGATTCAAACACCTGTGTTTATGAATGAGAGCATTAAAAGCCAGTCCATTTCTCCAGCTTGTGGTGAAATTTTGAACATCAACTCCAGAATACCTTTGAAATAAAAAAACAGAAATTATCACACACCTTGTAGAGTTCTCTGTATTGAGAAGGCAAGGTTGTAAAAAAGATATGGCTGGTGGTAAACTTTGCTCCACCTCAAAAGGAGTCTGTAACATTTATATACAAAGCTCATTATTCCTCAGTGACATCAGCTACCAACTATAAATCTTAACCCTATACACCCCATCATCAATATACATATTCTCCATACTATCCTTATACATTTCCTAGAGTGCTGACAAGGAGAATTTATTTAACAATCAAGAGCTACTTTAGTTGGTGATAATTTCCTTTATTCTTGTGACGTTAATCTGATTCAGGGGTGATATTGTAAAGAGAAATTGGATACTCCTGGTAGTCACTCCTTGGGGAAAAAGGGGTCAATCAAAACCTTCAGGAAGAATATTTGCAGAAGACCTCTGTTGGACATTCTACAGCTTAGACATGGCCATTTCGGGAACATGAGAAGCATTGGACAATTCAAATTCATGAACTTCCATTAAGCAGGGCTGTGGTCTAGCAGCGCCCGGTGGCCTCTGGCACCTTACTTTTGCTCTTGGGCAACTCAGGAATTACACCTTTTTCATAAAAAGCATATACTGTGCACCCTGGATTTCACACTTTCAGAGCACTGGGCTCCCTTCAATATTTCTCAGAGCACAGCCTTGATTAAGTACTTAATATTATTTTTCAGTATATTAACAAGGAGCTACGTTACTACTGTAGCTACTAAATTAAATGTAGACCAATTGCTCAGTTAAACAAAATTTATACATGACTTTACCCTCTTGTCATTCTTTGACACCAAAGCAGCAAGGCCTCTTTGGCAGACTTTTTCTCCTGAGACATTTCATCCTGAAAAATGATGTCCATTATTCAGTAAAAAAAACTCTTACTATGTAATGAGAAGTACAGAAGGAGACCGCAGTTGAGAGGACACAAACTTTGGTCTTCGTAAAATGCTCTTTAATGTTACCCCTATTAATAACAATTTTTTATCTTCTCATGTGGAGACCTAAACAATATCCTTACTGTGTGTAGTAAAAAAAAAAATATTTCAGAAACTAGAGGAATTCTGCTCTTTTGTGAACACAAATATTATGATACCTGATATGAGATATCTGCGATTTGGAATCTGAGAATAATCATCCAAATCACAGCCAGGATTAATCGTTCATTGCCATCCACGATATCTTCTGCTCCAATACTTTCAAGTTTTACCTGTAAACAGTATATGTAAGAGTTACAAAATGCCAAGAATAATATCAATATTGCTATAAATTAAACAACAGGTGAAAAAATGTATCTCTAATCAAACTTACTGAGCGCTGTAAAAATTCAAGGGCTTTGTTCACATTTTCAATCTTATGCACCCTCAGTTTTCCACGAGCTGTAAAGTGAAAATAAACAAGGCATACATTAGTGAGCTGTGGTAGCAAAGAACCAACATCTATTTTCAACAGGGACCTTAATAATCATTCACTACCACAATCTGAACTTGAACAATTTTATCCTCACTTAATTTTGCTAATTGCATAAGCTACACTGACCTGGAAATTATCATTAATAATACATTTTTACATAGTTGATGATAGTTTTGCAAAGTTTGAATTTTAAGCAAATTCATGTCAAGAAAGAACTGGTACTGATTAAACACTAAACCCATTGGTGCATTGCACTTTTGCTCTGAAACAAAAATTTATGTTTCAAATTTTTCTGGATTAATGCCAACACTGATCTAAATTTGCATATTTCATAACACAAAAGCATTGTTAAGAGATACAATTATGTACACATATACACATAAGACTATACATGTACATGGATCCCTAAAATTAATTAAACAATTCAGTTAGAACAATTGTATTTAAAATAACCCATCCTACCTATTTTTCCCAGTTTTTCACCAGAAATAATCTCAAGAAGAGAAATTAATATTTTGCCATCACTTAAGTCTGTGAAGAGGTCATCTACATGGCTATTGTGCTGAAATAAATCAAGAGTTATATCAGCTGTGCACACGAGTACTTAATCACTGAACCAGTGTGCCTTAAGTCAATTCTCCTTGTCAGTTCCATTAGAAATGTACAAGTATACTGACGTTAGGCTGTTCAGGGTAAAACAACAAAACCATGGGACAGAGACCACTCCGGCCCTCACATGGTTAAAAGGGTATTTGTCGCCAATCAGAGAATGGTTTTCAGGCTCTTCAATATGCTATGAAAATTGGCAATGCAAATGCTTTCTATGAGCAACTCTATCAAAATAATAATCTTTATTGAGATAGTTTTTCATAATTTTTTTAAAAATTCAATTCTAAACATTCTGTTTATTCATGCAAGAGATGGCTAGTTAAGGTAGATATACCACAGTCTTAAATATTACTGCCTTGAAAATGGTTTAGTTAAGATTTGGTCTGAAAAATCAGCAGTCCCAAAGCAAACTCTCGAATAATTTTGGCAAAGGTGCTCACAAATATTAATTTTTTGATTTTTTTAAAGGCTGCCAACCCAAAATGAAGGGTGAGGATACCACTGTTCTTGAGACGGATCTGAGGAGTGGTGAATAAATATTGGAACATCCTGAGCTGCTTTGTTTGTGAAACTTTTTTCTAACAAATTTTGTTTAGTTTTAGACAAGGGGACTTGTAAAATCCTAATGCTTCCATACGCAAACTTCGCAAGGGAAAAATTGTCAAGACAAACTTGCCAGAGTACATCTACATCGCTTATAAAAATTAAAGTTAACCATGTTTACACGAAAAAGTATTTCAAAGCTAAATCAAAGCATAGTTTTGGAGAGCTCTTGCAGTACAATGGAGACTAAGTTTTCCCTTGGTCACACTTTACATCTTAATTTACTTCCTAACAAAGAAGTTAGGTTACTATCAAGAAAACGCATATTTAAGCATTTTGGTGGAGGCTTCGTACTTAACAAGATCACATCGAGATAAACTCACCTTGTCAAGAAAGGAATTGACCCACTTTGTGAAAGTTTTCTTTTGAGAATTAATTCGCTCATTTTTTAACGCTCTTATCCTGTCTTTTTCGAAGGTGGGTGTCGGCGGAGGAATATAAGACATAATCCTGTGTTCAAGTCGTTGTAAACGAGAATCCTGATGAAACTTTCAAACGCTTATTTGTAAACAGTTTTGTATCTCGCGCCTTACTAATTACTGAGTGAAAGTACAATCGTCGCTCCAGTCCATCACAACGTGGATATATTGTTATGTTTAACGCCACATAAATCAAATTTCCTTTCGTAATTTATCTTCTTCAGCGTATCCTTTCCACACAGGACAGATAAAAAGCTCCGTGCAGTCAAAGAGAGGCCTAATTGAGGAAATTATTCCAAATGTTGACCTTATGGCGAGCAAATCACGAGTGATGTTTATGTGATCCTTCTGTCAAAAGCATACAAACAAATCACAAGCCTTCTTCCGATTAAAACGTCCTGGAGACCCATCCAATATTTATAAATGATTATGATCACAAACCGAGGAAAGCAATATATATGAAGCTGCTAGGAGACGAAGAACGCTTCCATAAGCGTGACACGATAGTGTTATGGAATGCTGGTTTCGAGTTCGAATTCTCGCTCTTCCTTATTAGGAGTGATTGACACAAAGCATATAAAAAATGTCAGTCTCGTTCCAGCCTGTCTGAGTGGAAGGCTAAGGAAGAACACATTTTATCAACATTGCTAACCTCCACATTTCTACTTTGTGCACTTCAAATTCGCCCCCATACTAAGGGGGTCTTTGGGATTTTCGGTTTTGACTGTTTTTTGGATCGGTTTTTGGGCCGAAAAGGTTCGGCTTTTCGGTTTTTTTCTCCGGTTTTGCGGTTTCCCAGAGGCTCTAATGCCCCAACCTCGTTCCCAGGGTCTTTTCCCTTTGTTGGTGGGTGGAGCTGGGGGTGGGGAGGGAAAAGGCCCTGGGAACGAGGTTGCTAATGCCCCCCTCCATACTAGTTCGCCTCAACCTCGAAGAGTTCGCCCTATCAAATATAACAAATACTCACCTCCACCTATACCAGATCGCCTCCAAATCTTTCATTCCGTTTCTTTCTGGCAAAACGCGTTCCTTATAAGAAGATATTCGCGTTTTCATTGTGATAAGTGCGAACTTGCAATAGGGCGAAATCTCCATAAACTAAAACAACTCAACGAGAACAAGATCAAGAAGAAAGTCCTAAAAACTTCATTCTCGGAAGAAAAAGAGGGAATTGTGATGTGGAGGGCTGGGACATCCTGAAAGTGCCGAGAAATTTTTACCTACGTTCTCTTGTTCGCTGAAGATTCTTCAAATTCCCTCTAACTTCGAAACCCCACCAAAAACTGGTTTTTTTCATGACTTGAAATTATTTGAAAATAGTGGCCCAAGGTTTACTCGGCCAAAGGTTAAAACCTGAAAAAACGAGGGCTCGCTACAAGTCGGTGAAATTTTATTATCGCATTCTTAACATCTCCCCCCTTATATACAATCGAACCTATGTATTTCGAAATGTCGAGTTTACCTCAAATAAAAAATTTACAAATTTACAGTCTCGATTAAATTAAAAGGTAAGCGATATATTTCTGTCCCTTTGCGAAACATTTCACATGTGACATGCGCGCTGAACCTCTAACTAGTTCGGGAATGCTCGTATTTCCCTCTCGTCTACTATACGAAACGTTCCGATGTATCGAGGACATGAAAGGGTCCCCGACGGATATTGTCGTTAAATATATTTTTTTCAGACATCTGGTGTAGTGGCAGATAAATGAAGGTTGTGGTTCGAAGCCACTTTTGACGAGTATGACGCTCCAGGTTATTGCTGGTGTCCTGAGGCACTTTCGACGTTATTTTACGCCACTTTTCCTTGCTGAGCTGGTGTCGGTTGTTTTACTTCCTTTGTGGCTCCGGGAAGATCTTGATTTATCAGGAACACGAAGCGAAGACCACAAATCTGTAAAAGAAAAAGTGAATCTACAATCAATTATTCAAGATCTTTATTTATTATCTAAGAACTTTATCACCAGGGGTATCCCCTCACTGCTTTTTACTCAAGCTCTCAGGTAAAATAAGTTTTTTTTCCCGAGCTGTTCTTTGGGTTGTTGAAAATTGTTGTTCATTGAAGACAGGAATATACCAAATGGGAACAACGATAGCTATGTTTGCAGAACGAAAAAACGAGTTAAAGCAACCAAATAAAAAAATAATTTGGGCTAATATTTTGTTAAAAGCAACAGCCAGGACATAACATGAGTACATGAATTCAGCGCCCCGAGCTGCAACAGTTTTGGTTACCATGGTGAGCAGAAAAGTTTTAGCAACTTAATTTATATTAAAAATTAATCTCTGATTTGGCTTACTTTGCATGGAAAACAGTCAAAATTTTACTATTCACAACAAAATGCAAGGTAAGCAGTAGAAGTCAAATTCTGGCCGGTTGTTGTTTACGCACATCTCAATATTTCACTCATTTGACAGTACCTCAAAAGTGGAGTTGTGGTGAAGCCTCGCTTTGGTACCAATGACGACGGGCTTGCCATCTATGTACAGCGGTCTTCGACCTTCGTTGATAACACAGTATTCACCCTCACTACGAAGCTTGATTACCGCCTGTGAATCAAGTCAACGACTTATAAGCGATAAGACTCGCCTAAGGAATTAATTTTCTTGGATCTAAGTGGCTGTTGCACCTCTTGAAAGTTACCTGAAGCACAGGTGATTTGGTACAGCTAAGGGTGTTGGGTCAATTTCTCATTGAGGACCAAATGGAATCAGGGAATGCATTGGTTTAGCTTTTCTTCGCTTAGTGATTCGTAGAGAAAACTTGCGACACTCTCTCGACCAATCATGTTCAAAATTTAAACCAAAATGGACTTGGCGACCCACGTCGCAGTTTCCCGCGCTTGAAGGCGGTCACGTGTCTTTTGAGTTCTTATTGGTTCTTTGCGTTTTTCAACTCTGACCTCATTGGCTGTTGTAATAATTTTGGTTTGGTTTCCCGACATTCGATCTAAAAGCCTTCTAATCCAAAATGCACCTTTTTAGGGTACTAAAAGGGTTGTCTGTCGACGATTCAAAAAGAGCTCTTTAAAATACATTGAGAAAAAAATTCACCATCAAAAATAGTAACACGGCCTAGTAACTTTCACATAAATGCAACCACTTGCCTACACTTTCATCGCGCGCGCAACCGGCTAAGCGTGTCAACTACCCGCGTCACGCCAGGTCGGAGACTCTCTTGAAACTGTTGAACACCCGGCTTCAACGCCATACGAGATCTCCCTTAGAGCACTACGCTTACCTGTCGCCTTGAGATTTTCCATGCGGGTCCTTCAAGGGACAAATCAACATCAACGTGATTGTCAGCTGTAGATCTTCCGACGGTGATCTGCAACCAAATTAAATGGATACCTCTGTTTATGTATTAAAGTGACCGCAATAGCTCTTCTGTGCCGTAATTCGAGACATGGTAACTAAATAAATAAATACAGAGATTGGATGACGAAGAATTTAAAATCCCAATAGGTGAGAGAAAACCCAGTTAGCTATTTACAGAGTGCGCTGAGGCTCGTCTCCCAAACAACGGGAATCAAGTCTAGTTGAGTAGAATTCTTGGAGAATTTTAAGCTGGGTGAAATGGAGGGATCAAATCTGCATTTCACTGTTTTTTGTGTGTGTTTGTGTGAAAGCGATTTAACTCTCGTTACTGTTTAACGTTTGGTTTTGACACCCACTTCTTAAAAACTGCTCCGCGCGCAACCATGAGGAAAGAGCAAAACTACAAGTGCTACAGTGACCCACGCCATCACTTATCAGAAATAGAGCTTAACCGCTGAACCACTTACCTCTCTAGACCGCATGAGGTACCTGACCAGTCGCCCTCTCAAAACTGCAAGTGTATGAGAATCAAATTCGCTAGCTGGTGTGACTGTGGTGCCTGCAGCTGAGGACAGATCAAAATAAACGACTGACACTGAGAAAGCTGTTAATAAGGGTCATCACTGATTCAAAAAAAAAGAAAAAGAAAGAAAGAAATTACTTCCTTGCAAGAAAGTGGACACGGAAAGACTATCCGGTACAAGAATATTGTATAGACCACTTTCATAATTGGCTGCCGGATTAATGTTCCTTTTGTCTAAATTTAAATTAGCCCTTCTGGCCTCGCTTGAGATAATGTATTCTTTTGAATTTCGTACTGGAGAACGAGGCCAGAAGGGCTAATTTAAATTTAAACAAAAGAATATTAATCCGGCAGCCATTTATGAAAGTGGTCTATTGAACACTTGATGGGCATTTTTCCGAAGAAAACTTTAACAACTCGTGGTGTTCTCATGGGAAGCATGTGAGTTCAAGAATAAAAGTCCACGTTTAAGCTCTAGACGAGGCTCTATCTTAAGTTCTTGCTCGAGACATTTAACTCACTCAGAGTGCCTAACATCTAATTCCTGCTTACAATATCACCCATGAATCACACAGCAAGGTGAAGAGAATAAAGGAAATAATTGCCAACCTACAAGCTTTGATTGGTAAACGAAATCTCCTTGTCATCTCTAAAGGAAAAGTATAAAGAAGATTTGGAAAATATGGATGGTAATGTTTGGATGAACGGGTTAAGGAAACGCGAAAAAATGTTGAGTACAACCAACGATGGAAACTTTTGTCGGCTTCTCGTGATATTTTGCTCGTATCCATTTAAACTCCTACTTGTAAATAAAGAAGGGCCTGGGGTTTAATCTGGACCTTTCCTCTTGGAGTTTAACGCACAAACTGGTAGGCAAATTTTACACTACAATTTTGTGGGTGTAATTTAAGAATACTTAAGCATCATCTTACTGGTTGCGTTGAGTTTTTCCACAATAACTTGCCATAGAGGGATCTCTCCTTCTAACAGGCGTATCTCTCTCTTGTTTCGTCTGTCGGCCAATGAAAGCTCCTGTTCCAAATTATCGTCCTTAGTTTCTCTGATAATTAAAAATTAAAAAGGAGATGATAATCAAAAAAGTAAAGATGAGGGGTGAACTTAATGCAGTAGGCTCTGTAGGTACGATAACTCTGATTTTCCCAAATAAAGGAGTCTTCTTTACAACCGTTGTTTGGTGTAGTGACACAGCACGTCACACCCAACACTTCGTGGGGCTGAAAGCGTGTCGCGTGACAAGAAAGCGAGCTGCGTGACAAGAGAAACAACGTTCGTGATGAAGACTATTGCTATGGAGACTACTTATCGATTCTTTATCGCTACAAAGAGGTGGATGCGGATAGTGCAAGTACGTTTACTTACAAGAGTTCAGCATCATTAATCTGTTCCTCAGCGTCCGAGAAACTCACTGCATGTTCTGCCGTGGAAACTGTAAAAAGAGCAAAACTTTACAACCTTCTGCATAAATAGATAAAACAGGGCTCGAAAAAACCCCGTCCGGTCGTCCGGGACAAGTAGATTTTCCCTTCGGGCAAGTAATTTTCTCTCCTTCCTTGCCCGACGGGCAAGGACCCAGCGGGCAAGCCGTTTGCCGACTAATTTTTGATAACGATTTTGAGAAGCCGAAAAAAGGTAAGCTTTAGGCCAAGGGTAATCAAGTGTTTAGATGACGTTTGACGAAAATTACAATTTATAGCGTTGTTTTGTTGATTGCGTGACGCGCGCTCACGGCTCAGAAGTGGTTGCCTAGCACGTGATCAAAATCTTCCCCGATCAAATTTCTTTCCAGGACAAAATTTGCCGCGTTGGAAACGAAAACGCTGTGTTTATTTCTTAATTGTAGCAATTTTCTGCGAGAATGTTTCGGTTTCTCTGTACAAAACTTACCTCAACAGCGATATATTAATTAAAATTGTAAAAATTGTACGTGAAAACTGAGAAGTCGCATATTTCTACCGCGAAAACGAAGCTAGCACTTTGATGCTAAAATCCAGGTAAAATCCAGGTAAATCTCTGTTCATGAATTATTAATTAGTTTGAAAACTTGGGCAAGCAGGGAAGTGCCCCGGGCAAGCAAAACTTAAGGGTTACTTGCCCAACGGGCAAGCTGTAATTCAAATATTTTTCGAGCCCTGTAAAATAAATAAACTTTGATAGCTAACACAATTACTAGTAACCCAGTAGTTTACATTGTGGGCTGTAATAAGAAGAATTATAAAACTAGATTATCAAGAACAGCATGCACATAAATATATTCAAAACGTTCTAGAGATAGTAAAATGTTCACGATCTGAATTACTTTGTAAAAAATTGTTCACTAAAAGTAAAACTGAACTGCTACCTTGAAAATGAATATCAAATGAGTGGCTGGCTTTGCAATGTCTATTTTTACCTTTGAGTTTATAATGTCAACGTGGGGAAACTGGCTAACTGTCTGAATAACTGAGTGACTGACTGTCTGATAGATTGCTGACTGATGGATGGCTGATTACAAATTGGCTGACTGACTGATTTACTAACTGACTGGTGGGATGACTGACAGCTCCAGGAATTACTGGATTCGAGGCTGACTAACCAACTGACTGCCTGCCTGCCTGATGACTGGGTGGCTCACTGACTGTCTGGCTGGCTAAATTACAGATGACTGGGTGGTTGAACAGCTGACTAACTGACTGCCTGCCTGCCTGCCTGCCTGATGACTGGGTGGCTCACTGACTGTCTGGCTGGCTAAATTACAGATGACTGGGTAGTTGAACAGCTGACTAACTGACTGACTGACTGACTGTCTGATGAATGACTGACTGACTGACATTACATAGTAACTGAGTGACTGACTGTCTGATGACTGGCTGTCTGAATGACTGACAAACTGATTGACTGACTGTCTGACTGACTAGTGGATTAACTGGGTAACTGACACATCAACTAACTAAATGACTGCTGACTGATGAGTGTTGGTGCACTGACTTGCCAGCAGTCTTACTGACTGGCTGGCTGATTGGAAAATCAAATGTATTACTGGTTAATTTCATTACCTGTCTGATCAGAGAGGAGTTGATATTGACGCATCAGAAGCCAGTGATTTCTTAATGCCTTAGCTGACCGACACTGGTGAAAAACTGAGGGGTTTTTATCCAACAAATCTTGGAATAGTTCTAAGGAGGCTGGGCTGTTCTAAAAGAGGAAGGCAAAGACATTTTTGTAAAAAAAAATCTTAGAATACCCTTTTGACTAAACATTTAGGTATCAGTTACACTTAAAGATCTCGATAAGAAGTGGAATTCATTCCAGAATGGTTGAATGCCTCACTCAAAACTACCTTCAACTTTAAAGGGACTCAACAGTGTAAGTTTGATAAACACCTGAGAATGCGAAAGAAGTAAGAGGGGAAACATTGTAGGCAAAGATGAAGAAGATTCCAATGGATTGCAAATTTAAAATTTTTCAAAATGCACAAACTGTAATCTGCAACATAACTCCTACAACCATTTACACCCTAACATCAGTATGCATATTCTCCATACTGTTCTCTATACATTTCCTAAGGTACTGAAAAGGAGAATTTGTTTGACAATCAAAGTTTCTTAAGTTGCCGATCATTTCCTTTATTCTCATGATCTCAAAGAATGACCCAGTAGTGTTACTGTGAGGAGAAAGTAGATGTTGGTCACTCTTGGGGTTTAAATTGTTAATGCAAAGTACTTGTTTAACACTTGCTCACCGCTGGTACATTTGCCAAGATCTGTTCCTCTTCTTTGCACCAAAGTGCATTGTTCTGTGCTGAAGCAATGACATCTGCGGGAAGCTGTTTCACAGCAGTAGTTGCTAACCTTTGATTGGATTCCACAGATTATGATTAAATTTCTCAATATATTGCACCAACAACCAAAGAAAAATTAATTTGCAATTTTAAAAATTTTCAAACCAAAGAGAACTTTAAGCCACAACACCTCAGGGTTGTTGCTTAGCACTGGCTACCAGCGAAATTTTCAGAAGAAAAGGTGGGGATCACCATTTGGATTTTTGGCCAGCAATCATTTGGTAAAGCACAATGAGCACTTCTGAGGTTACACAGTTACAATTGTTTGCCACCTTTGAGCCACATCACTTGAAATTTTAGCCCAAGGTGCAATTTCTTAGCCACAACTCTGACACCCAGGTGACACCTTTGATCTCACAGATTTTAAGAGAGAAGGGCAGTTGGGTACCTGTTCATAGATGCTAAAAAAGGGGTTTATTTCAAGCATACATGCAAGTCTTGAAAATATTTCATATATGCGAGTTATTGTTATGCTTTCAATAATTATATCCTTTTCTTAACAAACTGCTGATCAAGATCCTTGAAAAATTCTTTGCACATCTTGAAACTCCATTTTCCTTTCCTGGAAAAACTTAGGCCACCAAACCCAGTTCTTGATTTTTGACAAAAGTTTCAAGGGTAGAGAAAAGAGTTTTAGGGCATGACTGTCAACCTACTTTGGAGCCAATTTTCCAACATCTTATAAGGCAAAAAAAAAAAAAAAAAGAAAAAAAACACAAACCTTGACACTACCGGGTCATAAAGAAGTTGGTACCATCTTTCTTGAATTTCTTTTTGAGTGAATCGACAAGAGAACTTTATCCCAAGATAAACAGCTGTCAGATCATTTGTCTAGAAAATAATATTATTGGGGCATTGGATACGGGTAACTGCAAGTTCATATGTCTATCAAAGTTGAGGCTACTGTTTCACAAAATTTTCCAGGTGAAATAAGTCCTTTAACCCTTTAACTCCCAGAAGTGATTAAACTGTAACTTCTCCCTACAATATCCATACATTACCCAGCATACAGGTAATGAGAACACTCAAACTTATCAGGTAGAAGTTGTTATCTTGATCTAACACCAAATTATCATACCTAATGTACAAGGAAACAAGCAGCAGCGAGAGGGGAGAATTAACAATCAGATCTTGGGGGTTAAAAGGTTCACTCCTCAGATCTAATTAGTTATTCTCCCAACGGACTGCCATATATTTCCTTGTAAATTAAATAGGAGAATTTCTTTGTAAATCAAGATAACACTCTCTAGCTGACAATTCTCTGTTCTCATAACTTGTTTGTGGGAAAATGTATTGTAACTACAATGAGAAGTTACAGTGTACAAGTTAATAATAAATGTTTTTATAATAAATTTAATACTTATATAGTGCAAAATTCATTATAAGTATAATTATGATCTAATGTGCTTAATCAATTCTGGGAGTTAAAGGATTTTTTTGCAAAATATTAGATGAGGGCTAATTATCTTCTACTTTAACTCTGCAAAATATTTTCAACTCTGTAAGTAATTAATTTTGTAACTTTTTCTTGAATTTTGTTTCCTACCACCCACGCCACCTAAGCTTTGAACCCCTTATCCAAGGTGCACTTCTCTTTTGTCAGTCTACAGAAATTCCGCATCACTGCAGGTTTGCCCCCCAACAGTTCACCTTCAATTTTCAACTCATTTCACAAGGACACAAGATGTACCATTTAAATGAAAACTGATAAACATGAGGGTGATTCTGTTATATTTGATTGGGTGAACTCATCAAGGTGGGGGCAAACTAGAAGGGTGTAAAGACATCTAAATACCCTTTCATCTAACTGTAGGTTTCCCCTTAACAAAGCCCCTTTGTACTTCTAGAGATGAAATACCTATTCATGATAAATTTGTCAGTCTTACCTGCTGAACTCCAGTAATAAGGGCAAGATCATCAGCAGGTCTCCATCTTCCAAAGTCTGTATTCACTTGAGGGTTCTATTAATAAGAGTGACAAATTGTTTATACCAAATACCAGATACAGAATTTAGCATTATTAAAAGTTATTGGTGCTTCATGTACATGTACAGTAAATGTGATTTATATTCTCACTAGTGTTCTCCTTTTCAGGTGCTAACATGTAAAAATTTACCCCTGATGCACCTCGTATTTTCCTCTGAAGTGCTGCCTAAAATTGCTTGGAATTCTTCAAAATTCAACAACTAAGAGGACTGCTTTAAGATTTGAAAATTTCTTTTGTCTGTCATGCTTAAAATAAGGGAGAATACTGTCACTAAAGAAGAAACAGAATGGTGATGTTGAGTCTGCACTAAACCATGGGGCCCAAACTGCCTGAGTTTAACCCAGTTTCCATAGCATGAAGCGACTGTTATCATTGCTCTCCTTGGATAGAATGCCAGTCTATTGCAGGTTACCCAGGTTTTCTTAATTTGCAATCTATGGAAATATCAAAGTATGACCACACAATGATATGAATAATACTTATAATACTTACTTTGCTATTTCTTTGTTTCCTTGAGGAGCCTTTACCTGTGGGCTGTAAAATTCACATAAAAGATGTCTTACTTCAGGGAACAACTTTTAAAAGTGAACCCCCTCAGAGCTAAAACTGTCCCCTGAACATGGGTCTCTCTGAAGGTAAACTAACAAAAGGGCATGCAAAGGGGGACAACTTCATGACTATTAAAAGTGTCCCTCAAAAGAAGGTGTCCCTTCAATGAAGTGAACAATACAAAGGATCAGAATATAGAATATAGATAGACTATGCAAAGGAAACTTCATTGAGAGGACAATTGCATAGCTACAAAAAGTGTCCATTGAAAAGAGTTGTCCCTCCAATGAAGAAACAGATACAAACAACCAATCTACACGCAGGGGCATTTTTCAGTCTAAGGCAAAGTTTAAAACTCTTGAATAGAATAGATCTTTTGTTTTGTACTCAAAAGTGCTACAGCAGAATAAATGTGTTATGGTGAGGGTAAGCAATGGGATTTTATTAGTGACCTTAAGCAGTCAGGACGGCAACACCAAGGAAGACTTCGATTAAAAAATGAATTTCTACTCTTAGTCAGAATTTCAAAAATGGCTGCATGAGCTTACTGTCTCATACGGCGCCACAACTCAACTTCAGCATGACGTATAGAAGTAGCGTTGAGTTCCAAATAGAAATTAAATTAATTTGCCGTCATGGTTTTGGTTCGCAGACGATGCAAATTTTGGCGATTTCATGTTGTTGTTTTGCATAGGACGGCTAAGAAATGTACAAAGTTTCAAAATGCACATGCTGAGCTATTGTTCTGCCAATTAGATGTCTTGTTTTTCTACGTCCTCGTTGCCGTTGCCGTCGTGGTTGCTTAGGTCCCTATTATAACTTACAATGTTAAGAATGATGTGGATTTTTTCTTTTAAAGCCACCAATAGGATCTGAGCTAAGCATCTGCCTAACCTGAAGCAGGCTGCTGTTTCAAATGAGGTACATATTAACAGTGAAGCAAGCAGCTTCAAATCCCCAAGAAGGAAGAAGTCAAATTGTCATACACTTTCTTTTTATTCAGAGGCTTTTGTATGTTTGCCAATATTGTGAGTTTCTATTTCTATTCACATCCACCTTTGTCTGAAATCATTGACACAGTTACACTTTTGTTCCTTACCAAAGTTCTCTTNAATAAATAAAAGGCAATCTATGACTGCATGTGCCTGCTGTTGTATAGATGTAGAGTGCTGTAGTAAAAGCAATGTAATGCAAAATGCAGTGGGGTTAATGAACAGTTCTTGTTGCTGCCAAACTTGTGACAAAAGAAGGAGCTGGTTAGAGCAGAGTTTGTATACCAGTAAATTAACAGGCTGGGGACAGGGCAGGAAATTAATAGAAATGCATTAAATGTGCATCAAATTCAAACTCTGCCTCTTCTTCAAAAGTTTGCCTCATTATAAGCTCTGCATACCTGGTGCTATCAATTTATCTACTCCTCCCGAGTCCGAAGGTTTAAGGCTTGAGCCCTGGCCATGCCACCTTTTTTTTGTCTCTTTTTTGTCATTTCTTTTCCCTTTTTTTGTTTTCATTTCAATTTAATTTCTTGAAAGGATTTGTTGGGTACGTTCAGAGTAAACACACACATGCTGACGTTTGACAATATAGCTCTTGTGTTCAAATTGATAACAATGTCAAAATGTAGAGAGGGGGTCCTGAAAACAAAATTAAACTAAACCCCCCCCCCCCCCAAAAAAAAAAATGAGTCTGAAGAAACCTGATTAGATTTGTTCAATAATGGCTAGTGTCATAACTAAATTAGGTCGAGTCACAAGAGATGTTATGAGTGTCTCACAACAGTTCATCATTTTAAAGAACCACGAGGAGTTTGGGGAAGATTTACAGACTTACACAACACCACAACATAGTGCCTTCCACCTTCCCAGAAGGAAGTCACAATAGGCACAAAAACTTGACCAAATAAAACTCACAACACTACAACCCCTAAAAAGAAACAATGTAATGCCATGTCTCAAATCATGGCAAAAAAATTTGAGGCAAAGTATTTTTCTTTCAAAATCATGCTGGTTTGAAATATTGGAAAAAAGAGAAAAATTCAAACCATTTTAGACACCATGAGGAATGATCGCTTATGACACTGCTGAACGCTGGCCGTGTATAAGATGCCTATACCGTTAAGCAGTTGTCAAAGTTCAGGATAAATAATCTCCAGATTATTGAGTTACTGATCTTTCTATAAACAAAAAAAGAGACTACAAACGTATCCTTAGAAATTAGTCCGCAATGCCGACGAGCAGTTTTACGTAACGAGTGCTAATGGTGAATAAATATCCACGTGCCTATGGGTTCTGCATGATGTTGACAAACACAATCGTATATCTCCTATGACCATTAAATAACTCATATGACGATCTACGTAGTTTAGAATGCTATGTAAACTCAATTTAGCGTAAAAATCTTAGGGTCATTTCGTATCAAAGCAAATGCTTCTCGAATGAAATGCTCGCATGTGTTCACTGCTTAAGTAGAGATTGATTAGTTCGATATCTCTTGATCTTTCCCACTCAAAATTACGGGTACAGAAACTGTATATTTTCAAAGGTATACCTAACCTGTGACGACGTTCTGATCTCTTCTCCAAAATTCTAGGAAACGGTGAAAGCTGTTCCACAGTGACTCATTCACAAATAGACGCCATATTGAAATGACGCGCTGAATAGGATTATGGGCCGGATTTTGTTAGTTCCCATGCCTAACCTTTTACATTTCCCATGCGAGTGAGACCCCACGGTTGAGTAATGAGAGGCAAACGGAGATGGACTTCACGTGATGAAAAACTTGCGCGAAAAAAGATACTGATAGTAGATTTTTCTCCGTACCCCCTCCAATACCTTTACATCCATCCCCAACTTCAGGGTTCTCCAATAAGACAAGGCTTAATTTTTAGATGAAAATCATGCCAGAAGAAACAAGTGCCCCTTTGACAAATACTCGAGTGACACCACTTGATATGAGTTATAGTATTTATTTGACTGCCTGCATCGCTTTGGGTTTGTTTTTTCATCAAAATACTATTCTGCCTAATTCAACCCTCTCATGACAAAAATCTCCTTAGAAATTCTCCTTACTGTCTGCCAAACAATACTCAAGATGTAAGTTTGGAGAATTTGGTATTATAATCTCCTAATTAATATTCTCTTTATTCTCATCACTTGTCTGGTTGATTTTGTTTTGAAACTGTAAGGAGAAATTCTGTCTTGGTCACTCATAGGAGTTTAGGGGTTAATACTAAAGCTAAATATCTACATGAAATGCACATCATGCCATTATTTAAAAAAAAAATAATTTGACACAGCAAACAAGGCAAATTGATGGTACGAATCTAAGTTTATTAGACACATCCCTAACTTTATAAAATTTTATGCAGTGCTGTAACAGATTATTTTTGGTTCCTGATTTAAGTAGATATTTTATACCTTTAAAACTATTTTTTTAAATTAAAACAATTTACCTTTGCTTTCAACAGTCTGAACCTTATTAATCCCTCCACTCACAAGATGTCGATGGCAATTCTCCTGCTGTCTCCTGTAACTTTCTTATCATGATTAGTTTTGAGAATTTGATGTTAAACCATGTAAGTTAGTAGTAAAGTCTGTTTACGAGCCTAGTGGCCCATTAGGCCGGTGCTTAACTCTGGTTTCTGTAACATGAAGCGACTAGGAGTATTACTACTCCCCCCTGGATGGGATGCCAGTCCATCGCAGGGTTACCCCCCAGCATTAAATTGCCGGTACCCATTTAAACACCTGGGTGAAGAGAGGCATTGTGAGAGTAAAGGGTCTTGCCTAAGAACACAACACAATGTCCCTGCTGTGGCTTGAACCCGGACCACTCGATCCGGAGTCGAGCGCACTAACCATGAGGCCACCGCACCTCCCTTAAACCATGTAATCTTCCCCAATTGATGATTTTTTATTAATTCTCAACATCTGTTTGATTGATGTTGTACTGATATTCTAAGGGGAAATTACTCCTCACTCACTTCTGGTGGTGAAAGGGTTGATCCATACAACTGTGTTTGTACTTAAATTTCTTGATCCTCCCAAACAAGATTAAAAATTGATTAGAGAACATTTAAATGTCATGGTCAGGAAACACTTCAAAAAATAAAGGAATGTGAGTGTAATTGCTGTAAAATCATGGTTGGAGGGGCAGGGCCTGAAATTGCCATTGCACCAACTAACATTCAACCATGGGGAAAATTGTTGAGGGACTGGGATTTTTTTATTACCTAATTACTTTTGATTCTATTCATTTTTGTGGCAATTTTGTTCTGTCAAAAAAGGCAAAGGTCAAGGCTCCCATGAGGAACCAACCTCCTGCTGAAAATGCAAGGATCCATGCCCTATGGGATTCCATTTAGCCTTGACCTCACATAGACGAGGATAATTCACACCATAGAAATTCTCACCCCAGTTCTTAAGGTGGCGGTCCATGTAATTGACATAACTGCCAAGAGCGCAGCCAGATTCTCTTACAGCATCATAGGCTGCCGTGGCAAATTTTAGAACCTCTTCTCTTTGAGCTGGGTCATGAAATCTGCCATATGTATAATAACTGTACTGGGCAGTGCGGAAGGGGAATGCTGTGGATGTCGCAGAGTGTTGAGCAATGTCACCACCCATGTGAACAAACTCAAGAAGACATTCTGGTGGGATTTCAAGGTGGGCAAAGTACTTGGCCAAAGCTGGTGGTAAGGACTCAATCATCACTCCTTTAACATAAATAGGTTCTACCTCCTGATGAACAAAGCCATGCCGCTTGCTGTATTCAGTTGAAAACTGCAGATACGATGTGAACACTTGAGGTTGTGTTTCTACCGGTGGATGAAGACTTTCAAGGCTTGACTGCACTGCATCCTCATGAACATCAGAGTATACTGCATCCAAAGTCAGCGTTTTCTTCCCAAAGTAGCCATGAAGAGCCATGTCAAGATTAAGTTCCTTGGGGAATTTGTGTAAATTTTTACCAACCACACTGAGCCCTTGTTCACTCTGATCAATTGTATTGTAAATGAGACGGGTCCAGAGAAATTGTTTTGGTCGTGGACACACCTCTAAAGTAACATCAACCATCACTCCAAAATTTCCACCACCCCCACCTTTCAAAGCCCAAAAGAGATCCTCATTTTCTTTGGCAGAAGCCCTCACGACTTCGCTTCCATCGGCTGTAACCATGGTAAATGACAACGCCTTATCACAAGCCAGACCCCCATACCCACGAGAGAGCATGCTGTAACCACCCCCGAGAATGTATCCCCCGATACCCACCCCTGGAACACACCCTCCGACAGCCACATAATCAGTATCATCAAGTTTAGAATACACATCTCCCCAGCAAGCTCCAGTCTGGACAGTGACCACGTTCTCCTGCACATCAACTTGATTCATGTTTTTAAGGGAGATAACAAAACCGTTACTGTCAGTGGTGGAGTAACCAGCAAAACAGTGGCCCCCAGATTTGACAGCGACTGGAGTATTAGTTTTGTCGGCAATTTTCAAACAGCGCTTGATTTCTTCGACATTTTTTGGAAAAGCGACAAAAGCTGGCTGTTCATAGCTGTAAGCAGGATTGTAAATCTTCACTGCGTCATGGTAGAGTTCTGGTTGGTCAGGAGTCACAGCGATATCTCGAAGTTGTTCGAGTGCAGTATACGCTGAACCGCCCCCATGCAGCCTTCTTGACTTCAAGACGTTCGTAATGAGGGCCTTCTGGTATAATCCATGCCGTATTAAACGATAACTCTTGGTTAAATACATCTCTTTCCTTAACCACCAACTTCTGCGCTCACTTCCGCGTTCTTACCGAAAATATGTTGTGTACGACAACATCAAGTGTACACATTTGTCCTTAGTCTCTCTCCTGTCTTATTCTCCTTGAGATAACCAGTTTTTCCTTGCAAGTCTTTCTTCCTGGACTGATGAAATTAGTTTTTCGGTTAGTGTTGTTTATTCCTAAAAATATTGAACCTTTTAAAAGGTAGTTTCAAAGATCCCTTTTAATTTGTCTTTTTATTTGTCTTTTTTTTTTTTACACCTCAGTGTTACGGTGAGACGAACTTATTTGCTATGATATAATTTTGTGTCAGCCATTCGCACAATAATTATCGCTGCCATTCGCATAATGATTGTCGCTGAGTCGTCCTGTTCAGAATTAAATTCAACTAACTTAGCTTGGCTATATCTTCCTTAATCGTATATTCCTATCAAAAGCTTGTAGATATCCTGGAGCGGATCCCTGAGGGGTGGTTCGGACGGTTTGGTCGAACCCCCCTAAATTTTCCCTCAAAATACTGGAAATCATGCTTCCAAAAACCTAATTTTCAAGATCTCCCGGGGGAGCATGCCCTCGGACAATTCTCCGAACCCCCTTGACTAAATCCTGGATCTGCGCCAGATATCGTGTGTTTTGTATGTACTGAGAAGATAAAAAGGAACATGCTGGTACTTGTGTTCTGTAAAATTTGCCTGCGGTGAAACTTTTTTTTTTCGGTTTTCAATAAACAAAGCTTAAACACGAAGGCACGCTATAAAAGGAGCCTTAGGTCCCACTGGACCATTTGTCAATCAACCGTCGTGTGATGTAGAACTCTTAGAGTCAAGTCAGCTTGAGCTACAGCTACTCCAAAGCAGTGAACAGCGGGCGCATTCCTCAAAATTGTTTTATGTCTTCATCACAATACAAGAATTTTTGAGATTTGTATTTCCTTTCTCCAATGGAAACTGTCTTTATTTGTGGCGGTAAATTTGAGATCGAAGTAGGTGGTTCGCACGTTACCTCATGCCACCATGCTGGTGGAAGTAAACAATAGATATCTCATTAGCTCCTTTTGTTCGTCTACCAGCATTTAAATTTGACCCGCACACGTCAACGGTGAGTGACAAATGAGCCTAGGTCTTCCCAGGGAAGACTTCCTTATATAGCGCGCCTTCGTGTTTAATNTCCGTTTCCGGATTATTTAATGGACGATTGCAAGGCCAAGTTGAGACAGACACTTCCGAAATTCACTCAAGAAAAATTCATCATTTGCAATGTTGTACTTTGATTTTTCAAAACAAAATAGGGTTATCATGGAGACACAGGAGACCGGGGGGGCTCTACGAGCAACTGACAGAATTACTAAACATGAGCAAAGAATCCAAAGAAGAAAAGAATCCAACTGATAAATAAGTACAAGGAAACTATTTAAACACGAAGGCGCGCTATAAAAGGAGCCTTAGGTCCCACTGGACCATTTGTCAATCAACCGTCGTGTGATGTAGAACTCTTAGAGTCAAGTCAGCTTGAGCTACAGCTACTCCAAAGCAGTGAACAGCGGGCGCATTCCTCAAAATTGTTTTATGTCTTCATCACAATACAAGAATTTTTGAGATTTGTATTTCCTTTCTCCAATGGAAACTGTCTTTATTTGTGGCGGTAAATTTGAGATCGAAGTAGGTGGTTCGCACGTTACCTCATGCCACCATGCTGGTGGAAGTAAACAATAGATATCTCATTAGCTCCTTTTGTTCGTCTACCAGCATTTAAATTTGACCTGCACACGTCAACGATGAGTGACAAATGAGCCTAGGTCTTCCCAGGGAAGACTTCCTTATATAGCGCGCCTTCGTGTTTAATTTCTCAAGCGCATTTCTATGTAAATGCTCTAATGCACTTTACAAGTGCTGTGTGGAGGACTTTTCAAGACTGCTGGCGGCAGTTTACAATTAATAGAGGAGAAATTTTACAGATGCCCCCTCCCCCCATACCCAGTAAACAGGCCAGACCACAACACAGTAATCTCGTGATGTGGATTCTTTAACGTCCCCTGCCGAAATTAACTAATTGATAGGTGCAGGAGACGGGACCTCCCGCTTTACGTCCTATCCGAGAAGACAAAGCAATGTGAGTGAAGCGTCTTGCTTAAGGACACAACGTCAAGCCCCAGCCAGGACTTGAACCCAGGCCATCTGACCCAGAGTCCAGCGCACTGACCACTGGACTACTCACGAGTAGTGGTATACCTACGCTTACAAGTATGACCATGCCCAATATTTTAAAGGGAAAACAGAACAACAAAGCGATCAAGGAGTTGGAACAGACGAAAATAGAAGAAGCTTTCCATCTGATGAAATACAATTTTAATGTAGCGAACACTTCACTTGTTCACAACTATTTACTGCGTAGCTCTTGTAGAACTGATCACCCATGTCACGTGACCAACAAATCTAACTTTTCTAGGGTAGGGTGAAATCGAATCACAATGGCCTCTTTCTGATTCTTCCTAGATAGATACGACGGGCCTTTATAAATATCTCTAACTCAACAATGAAGTGAATACGTCTTTAAGGTATCCGAATTTTTAGCATATATTTCTCGAAAATTATTTTTTTAATTTTACTGATCATCTCGTGTTACACGAAGTCCCAAGCTACGTCTTCTGTTTCATTCCCTTTGTTTCGCGGGCTTATACATATGCGATCGTCCGGTCGTGTTTGATAGTGGTCTGACCAAAAGAAAAAATGAGTCCACACGTTCAGTTTCGTAAACTATTTAAGCTGTGAAAGAATAGACAAGATAAAAATACTTCCCTTTAGCTTTCATTTGTAAGGTCGCACGCCAGGAACACAGCGGTCCAACGTCTGTGCATGTGCAAACGTTGTAATGACTAGGCACGACAAAAGTTTTCAAGGGAAGCCTCGAGTTGATGCAGATGTAACTACCAGATTCAAATCACGTGACATCTTAGGCGCTTGGGTCTAAGGGTGATGTGTTTATGGGCTGTTAGAACCAATTTGTCCCACACGAGTTATAAACAACAACATAAACCAGTAATTCATGGTGTTTGAAAAGTAATGTTTTTAGTAGAGCTCAAAACAGAATGGTAAATCAACAGAATGCCCGTACTTGAATAAGCGAAAGAAAATTGAGAAGTTTAAAGGCATCTGTGAAAGGGAATAAAAGTAGGGAACAAGGGGAAAACAAGAGATTTTTCAAACACAAAGCTCCGTATTGTTGAATTCCTTACGTCAAGATCCTTGCAGTTCTTGTCTGTTATTCCCGTGTTTTCATAAGAGAGGTCTTTATAATAGTATAGACAACACCGCTCGTCAATGTGTCACGCAACGTGTCACGCCCTCGAAGGGAATCGCGGTTCTGTCCTGGTGTACCGGTTCACAAGGGAATTACCATTGTTCTTTCTTTGTTTAGGAGTCATTGGTTAGCTGTTGTGTATTGTTCGGTCTTTTGTAACGGCTCTTGTGAACCGGTACACGAGGACAGAACCGGAATCTTCAGCTCGTAGATACCAAACGGACTCTTGCATTCCTCCATTCCGAGGAGTTTGTCTTGGCATTGACTCCCGCTCGGATTCAGAGGATGACTGCACATCTCATACCAACGAGAATCATCCTTATTCATGCAAAAGCTGAGGCATTCTAAAAAAAAATGGAAGAATAAACAATCAACTGCGCAAAATAATTCAGAAATATTTAGTATATGAAACCTGAGACAGACTTGAGGCTTCTGGGAAATTTCGCTTGTTGAAGCCTAAAAAGTATTACTAATAGGGTCTCAATAGGGGTTAAATGTTGGCTGTAAAACGGCCAAAAAAATTAAGAGTTAAACACTGACTAATTTAAACCGTTAGCCACAAAAAAATCAGCTTTAATTTTTTTCATTGTGACCACGATGGAAAGATATTGACCATTAGCCGTAAATTGGCCAAAATTTTAACCGTTAGCCGTAAAATCCATCACCCCATGAATTGAAAGTGTTTTTTTCTCTCTAAACTCAGCTAAACGTCACTGCTGACCTTCAAAATCTTGGTTTTTTAGCACTGTAGACATGATATCGTTAAACGCTTCTTCGTAAATTTTAGCCACCTCCATGACATTCTCTACAGATCCTTCTTGGGCTTCCCACTTGACGCGTGGAGCAAACAGGACGTTCCTTCCAAAAATTTCGTAGCTTTTCTTCCCCAAGAAACCCAGCTTTCTTCTGACGTCTGTAATAGAGATTATTGATCATGCAGCAGAAAAATTACATAGCAGAATGTTCAGTATCCTGATATTTTCAAACATCAGCTAGCGCATAGAAGCGTGTGATGCTTTAATGTGACAGCGTGATGCTGTTAGTGAGCTTCTATGCGCTAGCTGATATTTGGCTGTGTAGCCGCGTGATGCGGTTCCAGTCAATACCCACTAATTGACCCTTGCTCACCATAGAGTCTCCTGTAGCTCAGTGGTTAGAGCATCCGACTAGATCACGGAGGGTCGTGGGTTCAAATCCCATCTGGAAACTCGATTTTTAAAAATTGTTTACAAATGTATTGTCATAAATTAATACAAATTAATTAATTTATTAATGAAATTCAAGACACTGTTGAGAATGCCCAGAGGCTTGCTTGTGCCGACGAGCTATGCAAGAGATCTTTCTCTGAGGGAGGGGGGGAGGTGGGGAAGAGCAAAAGTTTGAATTGGTGTAGCTCTCCCCCCCCCCCTCAAGCATCAAGATGTTCCGGCACCTCTACGTCATATATACTGCAAACAAAGGAGCTACAAGCTTATAGCCAATCAGAATTGAGAAAATGATACCAGCAAGAGGGAGTCTGGACACCGATGTATATTAAAAAAACGAAACATTTGATGCCTAACCAGGTATCCCAGCATTCGCTCCTTTGTATCCACGTGTTCCCCGGATGCCGGGTAGTCCATAATGTTTACGATGATGACATGTCTTACAAGCATGACCACGGCAAACACTCTCAGAAACACTCTCATCTGGTCGCTGGAAAAATTGTTGAGAAAGTTCGAAGCTTAGCCACCAACGACTTCAATGAGGTAAAAGGAATTGATTCCGTGCTGCCCTGGGAGCGTTAAGAATGCATCATCACAGATGACTATATGATGAGAACATCAGTAATACACTCAGCTGCGCCTTGCGTGACACTTTTATGTTCCTGCACCTTTTGACGTCAGCTGTGATCTTTCATTGATTTTACCACAATTAACAGTAATGTGGCAATCTGACTGGCCAATTTTCCGGCGACGATTATAGTATAGACAACACTGCTCGCGTCAATGTGTCACGCAACGTGTCACGCACTGAAAGAATCGTCACTATTTAACGTCGATATTGTGGTAAAAAAAATCGACAGTGGTTTAGCGTGGTCTTTACTCTTGAGGCTGCTCCCGTGATCACTGTGATGATGAATATCGTTGTTGACAGGAATAAAAAAGCACTATTAATTTGTGAAGCAGAAACACAGTTACGTGGAATCTTTGTCAAACAAATGATGCAAATTACTTGCTTTTGGTATTTATGCTTACCACATCTCTGCTATCGCTCGCTGCAGCTCTATTGCCTCCATCTTGTCCCTTGTGTCCATTTCGGTCGTTCGAAATCAACTCCAGGTACCCAAAGATGTGATCACAGTGTATGTGGACTGATTAATAAGAAGAAGACTGTTTCCTCGAAGAGTGAGAAAATAACTGAAAAACTTAATGATGTGAAAAAAAAATTGGAGTTCTTAGGGCCTCTTCACTTGCGCACACCCAAAATCTGGACTGATTTAACTTTCAAAGTAAGCGCTTGATGCAGGCAAGGGTGATTCAACCCGATGCTCGCGCGCAAGAAGTCCCGCGCGCGAAGTGTTACTGATTCTGTTCTCTCGCGCGCGCACGAGTTACTTGCACCTTCGTCGAACAGTTTCTATGCAGGCCAGCGCTATAAGTTGCATACCCTGTGGTCCAGCGATGCCAGATTTTCCATTTTCTCCATCTTTTCCTGGCGTGATTGAATCTCTATAAACCTGAATCCAGTTCGGCGCAGAGATCCATCTTACTTCCACGGAAAGAAATCAACTCTCTTGCAAACATCTTACAGTTTTGACTTCATGAAGGGAAATAACTCCCTGTGAAATAAAAAAAAGCGTTAGGTCTTCACATGAAACAGAGGTTTTTTCCATTTAAAAATTAACCGTCAGTTGTCAAAGCTACCCCGCTCTCATTAACCGTTTTAATTGTTTTGTTATTTTTTCTTAAAACCTTCAAAAAATACTTTTCATTAAAAAAGGATGAAAGCTCAGTAGCTAGCCGCTAGTCGGAAAATGAGTCCACGCTCCGAGAAACAACGACCAAAATTGAGCAAAAACCGATTAAAGCAATTAGTAGTACGTTCTAATTACCTTGATGTAAACTGTATCTGCAAGAATATCCAACTGCCGAACGAAATTCATGGTTTTTCTTAGATTGTCAAAGTTTAGGCCGTGCCTCCCTTTTAGCTGCTCCTTTAAATTTTTTTAGGTGAATAACCCGGCCGAGGGCTTGGTAGTGACCTAAAAAAGAAAGAAAGAAATCTGAAGTTAGTTGCTACTGTGGTGTTATTTTAGAAAATAGTTGACTGTGCTGTCCTTTCTCTAAATGCCGACTATTTAAACAAAGACGCACAAAGCCTACAGGGCAGGGCTAATCCAGCCGGCCATGTTTGAATAGATTGCGTGATTGTCATGCAATACTGTCACCGACAACAGCCCTCATCAGTGTTGCCCTTACCGGATTAATCAAAGACCACAGACATTGAATAGGCTTTCCAAGTCGCAAGACGTTGACATCGAATTAAGGGAGAGGGTGAACTTTGAGGCCGTGCCTCAAACTTTGAGTAAAGAAATTGCATGGGTTAAGAATACAGAAACAAGACGCATAGCTGCGTGAACTCGGGCTTTCAGTATCGCACATCTGGAGTTCCTTTAGTTTTCTGCCCTTTCTTCTGAGACGTTTCAAAGTAGCTTCTGATGCTCTACTGGTTTCTCGATCACGTCTAAATACACGGTTGTGTTTACATGTAAACATAATATGAGATATGAAGGTGAACTTTGAGGCCGTGCCTCAAACTTTGAGTAAAGAAATTGCATGGGTTAAGAATACAGAAACAAGACGCATAGCTGCGTGAACTCGGGCTTTCAGTATCGCACATCTGGAGTTCCTTTAGTTTTCTGCCCTTTCTTCTGAGACGTTTCAAAGTAGCTTCTGATGCTCTACTGGTTTCTCGATCACGTCTAAATACACGGTTGTGTTTACATGTAAACATAATATGAGATAT